AATTTTAGTTGTGCTTAATTTTTAGTTGTGCTTCAGCTTTGGCTTTAGATATGTATTTTAAAAGTGCTTTGCATGTATTTCGATATGACTGTGCTGTTATATATCCTGTCTGCATGTTGTGTGTTTTAATGTTGTGTTTGTGTTACCTTATATTCGGTAAAAAGCTCTTAAGAGCTTATGTTTGTATTGTTATATGTGAACCGAATCAAAATAAAACTTTCGTATCGTACTGACCAGTCAAATAGTAATTAATTGTAAGTCTTCGATCACATGACTCGGCACGTGACTCGCAATGATTGACAAGAAGGATTCGACCGCCATTTTTGACAGCGAAAGAGAAAATAATAATTAACAAATGTGGATTTATAAAGAGTGTTATGTTCCGGTAAGTGTGAATATAAGATTTGACATGTTCATAAATGTTGGTTTATAAGCACATTAAATAAAATAAGTGCAGTTATAGACTTGAATTTACCGACCAAACCGGAAAGTATCCTCGAGTTATTACCAGTCCGTGGGACAGGGTCAATGAGCAACTCACCAATAACTTACATTCAGATGAACAATCTGTTTTCCGGATAATGTATGTGCAAGCCTTAGTAATTAACCGATGTAATGATGTAAAATTTGTAATTATATGAAATTCCAATTTTTCTGTATCAGTAAGTTCCCGCTGCAGAACTGAGAAACACACGAGACAAGTTGCACACACACAACATGAGGTCTGATAGGTGAATTTGTATTGTTAGTGAAAGAAATTTAGATTTATATTTGGTTCCCTTGATAATATATATGCAGTCTATACATGCTAGTATAATAATATTATGCAATGAAAATGTGTCACCATGTGAAATACCAGTACATCATAAGTTCCTAAATAGACGTATTTTTTTTTAAATAATTGACCCAAACATGATGTAAAAAGTACATGCACCTTTGGTCTGCATCCTTTATCAGTTTAACTATTTTGATCCATATTGACATGATTGGTCAATTACTGCTGAGTCTCAAGTCTCAGATTAATGTCTTAAAAATTAATTAATTGCCTATGCTATAAACTTGACAAAGATTATTTCTTTTTATTTATAATATATTCTTTATTGTAGGAATACCCCCAGAAAGAAATCACGCATTAGAAGAAGGGAGAAGTACTACAGGAGAAAATGACTTTTTTTAGTATTTTTTTTAATTTCATTGAATTTGTCATGCTTGTCTTACATGGAGAATAAATATTTAAGTCTTTGAATATACATTTTTATTATTATATACATTAAAACTAAGACAGGAATGCAGAAATTCACTAACACGCTCAGTTTGGATAACAGTTCAAAGAAAGAAAAAAAACAAGTAACCACACATCTTTATATATTAAAGGAATAGCCACTTGAAGCAAACTTTAAGGATATTTTTATATATTTTTGCTAATGATCATCAGACAACTCCTTTAGTCCAAATGAAGTTCAATGAAGTGGATGTAAGTTATTGGAATGCACCGTAAATACCTTCAACAATGAGAAAACCTATACTGTGCAGTTAGCTTCAAAAGTCCCCGACATGGAAAATATATAACAATTCACTAGAGAAAACGAAGTGTCTACAATAACCAAGCAATTTACGAAAATTCAAATATGACGGACATGAACCAACAGCAACCACTGAATTACAGGCTCCTGACTTGAGACGGGCACATAAAGAATGTGACAATATTAAATATTTTTAGGCGCTCATCACCACCACTAGCATGGGACATTGGTGTAACGACATAACATAAAAACAAACTTTAAACATAATTTGAAAATAGTTCATTTCGGTTTAATCAGGCTGACTGTACATGAAATATTTGCCATTGACAAGCAGTTGTGAATCGAAGTTGAATTTACAGAAAGGTGACATCAATATATGCTATCATATTTAACATTTTTGTTTAGATCTGACATTGCTACGTATTTATACATTCCGCATTATTTTTGGCTTCTCAGAATTTTCACATGGTAAACCGTCAGCAGTTACCCAACAAATAAATGTTATAGGGAACCTTTTTACAAAGCATCATGCCGACAACAATTAACATGGTTTGTCACCAAACATTGAACAAGCACATTTATATTTGCTGTGGCTAAAAAAACTAAAGCAAATCACAACTCTTTTCATCTGAGTTGCTCAATTATTAGGGTTACAAAAAGCATAGCGATATATTATAACTAAAACATACGACACTTTAACAATAGACAATATTCAAATTTTCAAAAACTTTACGGCTCTGTATTGAAGCACAAAATTTCTTTTCTGGGATTTTGAAAGAGGGCACATATTTCTAGTGTTAAAAAAATGTCATCGTAATTTACACTAATGTGGTTCTATTTATGTTAACATAGAGATAATTTGATTATTCAGTCACATAATTTTGAAGCTTCTTCGTTCTGATTTACATGTACTTGCGGTTGATGCTTCTTTTGGAGTTTTTGCAGTCTTTGCAGCAGGGACGTATAGTCATCCTCAGATTCAATATCTGATGCAGTATATTCACCACGTAAAAGATCAAGATTGAGATCACTATCATCCCAAGATAAAAAATCCATGTTACTGGACATTGTGAATTGAAAAATGAAAATGCCGGCGATATCTTGGGAACATCTATATAATTTGTAGGGCTTATGTTTGCTTTATGTATCCATAGCAGTTATAACCTCTTTGCTGAACTGTTACGTAAGGAAATTACTCATTTACCTTTAATGAAATTTTTTCTCTCTTCTGTGATCGCCGCTTATTACATTGTTTGCAAAAACTTGACCTAATTATCAGACGGAAATTTAAAAAAAGTGGGGGGGGCGGGGGGGGGGGGGGGGGGGGGGGGGGGTTGAAACTTGTTTGAAAAAAAATTGTACGTTGGATAATCTGAATGAGGGTCTGGATGGGGGTTCTTTATTTCCTATAATGTCTATGCCATTTTTCTCTATTCCTTAAATCTTAATAACTTATTATTTTTATCTTCTCTATTCTTTATTTGTCGGTCCATTTTTCTACATTCTATACTTTTTTTGCCCCTATTTCTCCATTCTATAAAACCCCATCCACACCCTCCTGAATCCTACCACAAGTGCACCGACGATATTTGACAAGGTTTACTACAATAAACATGTATAAACGGAGCCTCGTGTACCTTGGGCACCCAGCTGTGAAACAAAATTCATCTCCCATGCTTTTGAGACTACCTGTCTACAGGTAAAATATTTGTATATTAGATACAATTAACGGACGTGTAGCAAAACAATGTAACTGTAAGATTGATAAGATTAATCACATTCACATTTTCAAGAGTGGCCGCATAATAACAAACTATTAACAAATTATTAATGATTAAAAACAAAAATTTAAATATGAATAGAGATATAACTGCATTTGAAAGATAAAAACTATATTCTTTTTTTTTTTTTATGAATTCAATTTTGTTTTTAAATTATTTTTAAAAGAAAAATAATAAAATCCGATACTGTTATAGTATTCTCAGTGATAGGTGATATATGTCGTCTGCTACGGTCGAATACGAAACTACGTTAAAATAACGTAGCTAACTACCGGAGACTCAGATAATCCGATAAATCTATAGTGACCAATCTCTGTGTTATAGTAGTCTCAGCACAAATCGACTGGGTGTCGTCGCCATCGGGGATAATACACCTTATCGCTGTTTGTCCGCCATTACTGGACATCACAAAAGTTCCCATAAAATTTTGACATCATAATAGAAAATATCTGACGCCACAATGGAAAAGTGATTGTTGTATGACGTCAAAAGTTCAAGCGGGACAGATTCTCGGGTTAAGCGGGAATAGCGACAAGGTGTATTGATAAATGGGATTAAATTGACCGCCAAGATGGTGTAGAAAACCACCTCTGGAGAACCTTAACATTAATAAGTAATACTCACCAAAATTTCTCTATAATTAACGCTATTTTCTTTTGGAAAATTTCAGAAAGATGCTGATAAACTTATTTGGTGACACAGATTATTTTCTTGTAATGGCGCGAAATATATTCTTACTCTTAATGCTTGACGTAACAAAATTTGTATATAATTATATTTAACTAAAGCTCAGCGTAAATTTGCAGAAGCATGACAAAACATTAATAATAAAATGTGTAAATATTTCTGTAAAAGAACATAATTTTACTTTACCAGTATACTTCACTTAGAATTACATTTGAGCGCAAGAAAATCTCTATGTGAATCGGCTCGGGGTCGAAGTTCAACATTTCAACGGAAATTTTTGCGTGTGCTTGCGTTGCTTTAGATCGAGGCCACAGCTTTTCAACCAATCGGGGAATGTTTACTTGGGGCATACATCTATTTTTACTGCAGGTTTCGACATGTTTAAATCGGGATTATAGAAAAATGGAATGTTGTTGGTAGATACAGAACAGAAAATGATGAACACTTTTAGCAAAAGATCAATTGGATCGGGGGTCTGTGAATTCACATTATTTGTACAACTCTCCTTACTCTTGGGAAGCGTGTGCTTTACATCGAGGCTTGCGTTGCTTTACATCGAGGCTTTCGTTGCTTTACATCGACGCCATAGTAGTTCAACCAATCGGGGAATGTTTATTTGGGGCATACATCTATTTTTACTGCAGGTTTTGGCATATTTTAATCGAAATTAGAGAAAAATGGAATGATGTTAGGAGATATAAAACAGAAAATGATAAATATTTTTAGCAAAAGATGAATTGGATCGGGGTTCTGTGTATTCACATTATTTGTACAACTCTCCTTACTGATGGCAAAAAATGGAATTTCCGTGACCTAAATGGTTCGCGAAAATTAATATTTTTATATATATATAGTAATAATACAATGGTAGACTTCATCAATGTTCTGAGATTAAAAACAGACTTAACTTGATTCAATAGTATTTTCATATGTTGTGTACAAATCGTAATCTTGTATATTTATAATTTGTACAAATTTTTTGTACAATATCAGTTTTTTTCAAAACCTCTTAACATAATTGGATAAAACAAGTAAGCTTTTATTGTATTGTCTTATCATTACCATACTAACATGACTACACGCTACAGTCTTATACATAACACTCATACACAGTTTATATAATAACACTAAAAGATATTTTGGGTGCTTAGTATCGGGTATGATATATAGAATCTCACCCAGTCTTGTGTTATTTGCAGCATTATTCCTCAAAGTAGACGGTGCTTTATATTAGGTTAAAGTATAAAAATTATGAATAGTATGGTGAAAGAAGTAGACGTCGGATTTTTGAACCCCACAATGTGTTCACGAGCTTACCTGATTAAGGTTTCTCAGAAACACTCATATGCGCACGAAACTCATTTCATTTATTTTTTAACATAATACCGTAAATTATTGATGATTATAGATCAGATGAAATAACAAAAAAATACAAAAAAAATGTACCAGTATTAAACTAATGGTTGCCTTTCGTTTCATTTTTGGAGTATTTGACAAATGCCAAATGTTATTTTGTTATCTTTTAGTTACTTTGTATGTTAGTATGAAGTCGAAGATATTGCTGATGTGTATTATCGTCAGGACTGTGTAGGATGGATGTGCTGGTGTGTATTATTGTCAGGACTGTATAGGATGGATGTGCTGATGTGTATTATTGTCAGGACTGTGTAGGATGGATGTGCTGGTGTGTATTATTGTCAGGACTGTATAGGATGGATGTGCTGATGTGTATTATTGTCAGGACTGTATAGGATGGATGTGCTGATGTGTATTATTGTCAGGACTGTATAGGATGGATGTGCTGATGTATATTATTGTCAGGACTGTAAAGGATGCATGTGCTGATGTGTATTATTGCCAGGACTGTATAGGATGAATATGTGCTAAAGCTGCTTCCAGGTTCACCAAATTACTCGTAAATCTGCATCATGAACTTACCACACATCACCCAAATTTCCAAAGACAATACATACAGATTCCCCTTATTTCACCACGCTACGTTCCCAGGGTTTGATATAAGAGATATTATTAATAAATCGCTGGCATCAGGGAAATTAGCTATTGCAGATTATAATAAAAAAATTATAATTTATGAATTGCGCGAGGATGTCTTTGATGAAATAGTACTACCATTTGCTCCTTGGTATATAGCTGTCATAGATGAATACTGATAACTTGTAAAAAAAATATGTATAAATCAGGGATGAATACCCCATACCGTTTGTTTTATTATTGAATTATAAGTTGTACACAATATACATCCAGTAACTGACATTAAAATTTTGTTGACAACGGATAAGGGTTTTGCTTCAAAAAATCATATCTTGGTGGTCTAGACGGAGTAACCATTAAGGCCTTTCTGTCTATATCATCATCCATGAAAGAATCTTTCATCGAATATGGATCTTTTAAATGGGGTTTTCGTTTCGGTTCTCTGTCAAGCTTGTCTTGGTCGACATAAGTGTTCTTTTTAGTATCGTATTTCCGATACTGCATATCATCAAAGTTATTGTCCATTGGAAGGATTGCCATTTTGTTATAATATGGATATTCTTTTAAATCTGGAATCAAGCATAGCATTGAAAAAAATGCTAATCCTGTAGCTATCATGGACATTCCAGCCGACCAAGCTAGGAAATATGGAAAATCTATCTGCAGAATCCATAATACAATTCCACCAATTGGAAATAGTTCTGTAATACATCAAACATATATATCAATCTTCATTAATGATGTTCCTTTGAGATATTCATGACAGGTTGTAACTTGTTTGTATATTGATATAAGAAGATGTGGTATAAGTGCCAATGAGACAACTCTCCATCCAAGTCACAATTTATAAAAGTAAACCATTATAGGTCAAAGTACGGCTTTCAACACGGAGCCTTGGCTCACACCGCACAGCAAGCTATAAAGGGCCCCACAAATTACTAGTGCAAAACCATTCAAACGGGAAAACCAACGGTCTAATCTATATAAAAAACGAGAAACACTTATGAACTACATCAACAACTACTGAACATCAGATTCCTGACTTAGGACAGATGCAAACAATTGCAGCGGGTTTAAACGTTTTAATGGTACCAAACCTTCACCCTTATCTGAAACAATAGTGTAACATCACAACATAGAAAGACACACTATAAAATATCAATTAAAATGGATTAACTCAACCAAAAGACATATTAACATAAGTGAACATACACTGAACTAATAAATTTGATCTATGATACAATGTAAATACGAAATCAATAAAATAAGGGAGGAATAATTAAAGTAACAGTATTATACCGCTGTGAAATGTTAAACAATTTCAGAAAAACAACAATGCCTTTTTCATTTATCCCTTGGGCATGCCACAGTAAATAAAAAGAAAGCAAATTAATTTAAAAATGATTAAACAAACACAATATAATGAAATAACAAAACACGTAAAGAAAGCAGGTGGTTAGGATAACTAACTTTAACTAAAAGAAAGTGTTTATTCGCAAAACAAATCCAGGGTGATTTAGAGCAAACCCATCTTAAATATTAGAAAAATCAGACTTATGCAATGCCAAATGCAAAGAAACAACATGCAATATGACAGATGAATGGATGGTTAACGTTCAGCATGCAATCTTTCAAACACATCCCGCTCGAGAACACATTGATATGTTATGATAATTCGAATGTGATTTGCAGATCTACAAATATTTGAATGTGGTTAGTCCGTTAGGATTTATTATTGGTTAACATTTAGATATACCATGTTGCCGAAACTACTTTATTAACTTATGTCATCACTTTGCCGATATCACGCTGAAACATTCATGCGCGATACAAATGAATAAAATGGAATACTGAAATTAAAAGAAAAATAACAAATGCTTAGGTTGAGAATTACAAGTAATAAAAATAACTTTACTAGAGGTTATTGGTGTGTCAACTGGGCCTCTGATTTACAAACTTTACATGTAACCAAGTCATTCGGCCTTTTCCCCCAGTTTGTGAGCTCAGTAATCGACCAAGTTTACACACCGATGACCTCTAGAAAAACGTATGATGCGTTTAATCCTAAAATGATGAAAAACTTTCTTGTACTTTACCGATATGAGAGCTGATGTTTTAAGTTTCTTGCCCACACAATATCGATGGAATCCATGTCTGTCTTCCCAGATACCATACAGAGACTGCATGCCAATCATGTTTTAGTACTTAGCAGAGAGTGCACAAATACAAATGTAAAAGATTTTAAATTGTACCAATAACCTTCTGCACTAGGAACAAACATGATTGCTACGTATGGTGAGTTTATTTGCTACCATTTGATCCCAATAAACAAATAAGGAGATGTGGTATGATTACAAATGAGACAACTGTCCACCAGAGTCTAATTGTAGTGGATGTAAGTCACCGTGCGTCCTCTAATAATGAGCAAAACCCACATCATGTAGTCAACTATAAACGGCTCCGATATGACAAAACGCTAAACTATATAAATGAGAAAACAAACGGACTGGCCTGATTTATGAAAAAAACAATAAGTGAAAAAAAATATGACAAACAGCAACGAACGTCAACAACTGAAATACAGGTTCATGGCACGAGACTAGCACATGAAGACTAGCGAGGTTGAACCAGTTAACAATTGCTTAATTCAACAGATTGTGGCACGACGCAAAAAAAAAACTGATTTAAAAACAAAAGAGAAATACCGGTGGTACCGATCTAAGAGTACTCGCAGTTACTGCGAAACCTAATTCAAAGCCAATTACAACTGATAAATAAATCATCTTCTCTGAGATTTAAATCTAAGTCAGCATACATCCAACGGATTTTGTGTAAATACGTCATAAACAATCTGTTAAAAGGATGACATTGTTAAAGGCCAAAATACACGTTCATAGTATCTACAGGATGTAGTACCATTAGTTTTCATAACTGTTTAGCAATACATATTCAATTATGTATCATTTTATCAAAATTGCAATCAATGTTCTGACCGATAAAAACAAAATTCAAAGATGTTGCTACGGTATTAGATTCATATCCTTAAAATAAGTTTGTTCCAAGGATCAAAGAGTGGACATGGATCGTATCGTATTTCAATCTCCAATCAGATTTTTCAAGGACCATATGATTAAATAAGAAAATTTCAGTTCGATAATTTACTAGTATCCAAAACATCCAAAGAGTTTTTGACACTACAATGATAGTATTCCATTATCTGCATACGTTGTACAACAAAAGTTAATAACAATTCGGTTGAAAACGTAGGACTGAAAAACGTTACTATTTAACAACGAACTACAACTACAAGGCAGTAAAGTCCCACTAGATAATATAACTTGGAGTAAATTTAGCCTGATCCCGATCGAACTCTAAGAAAAAAGCTTCTCGAATTGTCCAACAAAAGTTACAGTAAATATAATGGATGTATAATTCTAAATTTCAATGCATTGGAACCAAATCATATAAGAACTGAATGTCGTAAATATCAAAGTTTTCCGAAACCATACTCTAAAAAAATGTTTGCGATTTTCTGAGTTATTTACCAACTCTGGAACGACTAATGGAAAGATAGTAAAACTATAGCACTCTAAATGGACAATTTATAGATTAGTTATATCTAAAAGGTAGTCATTGATTTATTGTTGTTTACTCTAACGACCAGACTGTGGCAAATATTTCATGCATCTGCAGGACCAGAACACATTTACAGTAGGTAGGGTCTACAAGGTAGGTCGGGATAAAGGACAAAGAAAATGTTCAATGTCACTGGAACATGAAAGTGTGTTGGATAGGGACAACAATTGTGCCATGCAACTGGCAACCTACGGGCCCTTTCCCACACCATGCATCGAAGTTGTCGTCCCCATTTCGCGAGACGTGACTACTTTTTCAACATCCCGCCAAGCTTAAGGGCATACGATACAGTTTTGATCCCGCGGTGGTTTTTTTTTCACGAAAATTTGCATACAAGCTATTCTTCACCTAGTCAATTCAAATATGTAATAAAAAATAGACCTGCATGTGCTACTTTAAGAGATGATTGGGTCGATATTTTAGACATTTACTCAAAATTTCTAGTTTTTTTTCACATTTCTATCCTTTGGATAGACATACCTAACGTTTATGTTTCAAAAGATAAACAAAAGCGGATTTTTGTAAAAACATTTGGAAAATCTTCTTTTTATATGTATGCTCTAAATTTGTATAACAATTCTTTGGAAATAATCAATTTTTATCAAATTTTCATGATTCTAGAAAAATACAGCATTTTTGCTGTATATTTATCTAATTTTAAAAAATTTCGTTGGTGACTTTTTCATAAAAATTGGTACAAATAATTTTCATTCGTAATCAAACATAATGTCATTTTAAAAAAGAGGGGTCCATAAACTCGTTTTCAAGTCAAATCAGTCTGAATGATAAAAATCAGTCGAAAAGTGTATCCTTTTCCCGTCCCTACTATGTACTGCTTACCTAAATTGCACAAAAAACCATTTAAATTCCGTTTCATCTCCGCATTTAGTAAGTGTTCTATTACCAATCTATCAGTGCTTCTAACTACCTCCCTTACTACTATCAAAGAACTTGTTATTAACTTTTGTAATAAATCTTATGAAAATAATGGTATTAATTATTTTTGGAGTGTTAAAAATTCTGTAGAGGTTTTAGATAAAATACATGTTTTTGAAGGTCCTTTTAATTCTGTTGACAGTTATGATTTTTCTACTCTCTATACTACACTTCCACACAATCTTATCAAGAAAAAGTTTTCATTTTTAATTAAATGGTCTTTTGAAAAGTCTCATTGCAAATTTATTTGCTGTAACTCGTTTAAAGCCTTTTTCTGTAACGAAAAAGTAAAGTATGCTAGATACACTTACTGGAAATGTGAAGATATGATTGAAGCTTTAAATTTTCTCCTGGACAACATTTATGAACGTTTCGGATATAAAGTGTATCGACAAGTAGTAGGTATTCCTATGGGCACTAACTACGCCCCTTTAATAGCAGATTTATTCCTGTATTGCTATGAATCTCAGTTTATGAGCAAACTCAGTAAAGACACGTCATTGTTACATTTGGTTGATACATTCAACAATACCTTCCGTTATCTGGATGATATTTTTTCGTTAAATAATCCAAAGTTCCCTAAATATACTACCGAAATTTACCCAAAAGAACTTACTTTAACTAAATCTAACATAAACAGCAGTAGTTGTCATTTTCTAGATTTGGACATTTCAATCTCTAAAGGAAAACTCCATACTAAAATTTACGACAAAAGAGACAACTTTTCATTCCCTATTGTAAATTTTCCTTTTTTAGACGGCGATGTTACTTTGGCTCCATCATACGGTGTTTATATTCCCAATTCGTTAGTTATACCCGTGTGTGTAGTGATGTCATAGAGTTTAACGAGCGTAATCAATGCATCACTGGTAAATTATTAAGTCAGGGATTTCGTTACCATAAATTACGTAAAACTTTTACTAAATTCTTTCATAGATACAAAGATTTGATTAGTAAATGTGGCTGTACCTGTAGAAATCTGATTAAAAACGGTATTTCACATCCTAACTTTTACGGTAATATTGTACTTAAAGCGCGGAAATCACTATGTGATCTGTGTAAACTCATCGAACCTTTAAACAAACTTATTAGTAAAGGTTATCTTACTAATGTTGTAATTAGATCTTTGAATATAGTTTACATTGCCACTAATATCGATTTTGTCATCAGCAAATTAAAACATAACAAAATTTGTATTCTTTTCAAACGGGATGTATAAAGACACACCCACGTTCATTTTGATCTATAAAGAGGTTAACTCCTAACTATCCTACTGCCTCTCGAAACATTTATTTTTGGCATTGCACAAGTCATGTCTTCTTTGACTGTCCATGACGTTTAAATACTAAATCCCTGGGATGTGTTTTAGTTGATTTTAGTCTCTGGTGCATGATTTTAACTAGCTGTCAGTAACTGCGAGTACTCTCAAATCGTACTTTCTTGTTTATTTGACCTGATGATACTAATTGTACTGTTTTTTTGTTAATTAATGTTTACTTATTCAGGGTTATATCTGGTCTACATACCAGCTTTGATAAGTGTTTGGTATTACAATAAATTTTCAATTCTTCGTACTATGAACATCAAAATTATTTATTTTGTAAAAATATTTCCTTTCTCCATTTGAACTGTACACGTATACCTAACAACAAAATTATTTTCATTTACCTGTGTTTAAAGTAATTGCAAATGGGCTGATATTTTTGTTCAAGCATATTGTTTTTCTTAAATTGTTTAACATTTCACAGCGGTATAACATGTTACTTTAATTATTCTTCCCTTAGTTTTATTGATTTTGTATTAACATTGTATCATAGATCAAATTTATTTGTTCAGTGTATGTTCACTGGTGTTAATATGTCTTTTGATTGAGTTAAGCCATTTCAATTGATATTTTATAGTGTGTCTTTCTATGTTGTGATGATACAATATTGTTTCAGATAAGGGTGAAAGTTTGGTACCATTAAAACGTTTAAATCCGCTGCAATTGTTTGCATCTGTCCTAAGTCAGGAATCTAATGTTCAGTAGTTGTCGTTTGTTGATGGCGTTCCGATAAGTGGTTCTCGTTTCTCGTTTTTTATATAGATTAGACCGTTGGTTTTCCCGTTTGAATGGTTTTACACTAGTAACTTTTGGGGCCCTTTAGCTTGCTGTTCGGTGTGAGCCAAGGCTCCGTGTTGAAGACCGTACTTTGACCTATCATGGTTTACTTTTATAAATTTTGACTTGGATGGAGAGTTGTCTCATTGGCACTCATACCACATCTTCCTATATCCATGTCACAGTTTGACGTCGTGAAAAATAATATCTTACGTTATCAACGTCATTACCTCCCCTGTAACTGTATCGTATGACCTTAAACAGATGCCTGTGTAACTCATGTCGCGGAAGCGGATATAACGGATCCTGCATTCCGTCGTGATTGTCGGCGTCAATATTTAGGTTCAGTCTGTTGTTTAAGTTTTTTTAGACATCAACAACTTTGACAAACCATCAAGAAATTTTATGAAATTTGGACAGAAGTTTTTTATGACAAAAAGTCAGTATTAAGTACGGAAGCTACGGAAGCCCATTGCGGTGATATCTATGTATACATGTTATCTGATTAATTTATTCGCATTATTTATTTACCCGATGTGACTATCAGAATTATAATAGATTTCGCTGTTGCCCTTGTCCTGCTTCTGTCTGCGAGTACGTAGAAGGCGTAAATAACCACAATGATGAAAAATAGTCCGATGGTGACACCTTCAAGTATCTTGGCCAGTGTGAAAAATACTGAAAAATAACATAAAAAAAATAAAAACAAATTCATAGAGTTTTTCTAAGAGAAAATTTTGTATATTGATTTGAAAACAAGTATATATAAACGATCAGCAACAAAATTTTAAGCACACTGAAATAATTTTTGAATGAACAGTATTTTTTTAATGTTCAAACTGAGTTTAATGTAATGATCAACATAAACAAGAACAACAAATTACACCATCAGTGAAACCTGTATAACAATGGAAGATTACTATTCTTTTATTTACCTTTATCTACGTATTGAACATCGACGCCACAGTTTGAAAGAGGAAAAACCATTACAAATTGTACTTACAAGAATGGTAACTGCTTGGAGTTGTAGAAGTAGCGCAAGCAGACGTACAATTTGTGTACCAGAGTAGTCCAACTCTTATATCAAACAGATCCTTAGCTGTGTTATACACCATCCAGTAGTTTGTCAGAAAGGCAGCAGACTGCAATCCAAACGCGAGAAAGATGCAAATGAAACCGACTTTAGCCCAACCGGAAGCATCTCCACAACATGCCATAACTTCTTTTTTGATTCTTAGATTCTTAACAAATAGTCATCACAACCTCGGAAAGACAAACAATGACACGACAAATGAAATGTGTTTTGTCATACCTTAATTCAAATAAAAAAATGCATCGATACATGTATTATAATTTAACTGTGAAGTCATATGGTGAAATTGACCTTTATGTCTATTGAAATAAATTATTAGGGTGAAATAAGATATTATACGGATGAATTATGATACAATTCAAAAGAAATTAAAACAATAAACTAGAGTCAATAGCGATCAATGTTATATGTATGTCTAGTTTGGTTAAACAATTGTTTCTTATGACTAATTTGTTAATAAATAGTTAAGGTGCATTATTTTTTATACAAAATTGTTTTAGATTTTATAACTGTCATGTTTTATTTACTTAAAATGAAAATGAAACTGGAAGACCACGCTAAAACTTTCCAGTATTATGTGAAATATTTAGATGACCAGGCGAGACTATTCACCATTTCGTCGTCGAATACTTTCAACATTTACTATATGGCTTGTTTCATTTGGATGTATTACATTTGGACACATTTGACAGTGAAATGGCTGTAAAATAGAGTTGTGCTTAATCGCTCATAACACACAATTTTGCATGTTATTTGGGAAAAAATATATGAAAAGGTGTATTGTACAAACACTAGACATTTTTACCATAACTTGTTCAACCTTTTTACTTTAAACCGGGTCAGTGTGTTTTTCTTTCACATTATTCTAAATAGAGACTTTTTCAGTATAATATTATCCAAGTAGTCAAGTGATCCAAGTCCAAAGCTTATAAATGTCCGGCTCAGCCTGTCGGTCTAGTTTCACATTCATATTAACATGGTCTCGTCCTGATATGCATTTGACACTTGAACGTTAATCATTGATTCATCATTCATCATGATTACGTTAATCATTGATTCATCTTTCATCATGATTACGTTAATCATTGATTCATCATTCATCATGATTACGTTAATCATTGATTCATCTTTCATCATGATTCACCAGATACCAAATGCTACAGAAGTTAACAGCTACAGGTCACTGTACGGTCGCCAACAATGAGAAAAACGCATACCGCGTAGTCAGCCATAAAAGGCCCCGAAATGACAAATATAAAACAATTCAAACGAGAAAACTAACGGCCTGTTTTATGTACAAAATAATGAACGAAAATCAAATTTGATATGAAGCAACAAACGACAACCACTGAATTACAGGCTCTTGACTTGGGACAGACATACACAGAATATGGCGGGTTTTAACTAGTTTGAAGGCGCCAACCCTCCCCTAACCTGGGACAGTGGTGAAACAGAACAACATAAGAACAATCTATAAAAATCAATTAAAAAGGGCTCAACTCATCAGATCGATACAAAGCAGAAATACATCTAACAAAAACACAGACCGGACGTGGCAGGGTGCTTATACATCCCCACAACAAAAAAAGACACTAAATACAGATCTGAGAGTACTCGCAGTTACTGACAGCTAGTTCAAAGCCAATAACAACTAATAAAAAAATCTAAGACTAAGATATCAATCAGAACAAATCCAACATCCAATGAATTTAATGTAAAGACGCATTGTAGAGCCATGGATGTGCATATGTATATGAAAAATAATGTTTAGTTTGATTTTAATTTACTGATAGCAAAATCAGTATTAATACCAATAAAAACAATATCAAAAGATTTAATTACAGTGTTGAATTGGTAACCTTTTAGAATAAGTTTATTTAAGGATCGATAAGTTTACCCGATACGTAATTTCCGAGCTCAGTAAACACCATCTCCGTAAAAATTAGAATGTGTTATTCCGTTTGAAATAAGTTTTCTACAGGTAAAACCAAACTTCCAAACCAAATCTTTGTATCTATGGAAGAATTAAGTAAGGTTTTAAGTAATTTGTGGTAACGAAATCCCTGACTTAACAATTTATTCAGTGGCGGATCCAGAAATTTTCATAAGAGGGGGCCTACTGACTGCCTAAGAGGGGGCCCGCTCCAGTCATGCTTCAGTGATTCCCTATATAATCAACCAATTTTTTCCCACAAAAGGGGGCCCGGGCCCCTTGCCCCCCTCCCTAAATCCGCCTCTGTTCTCAGTAATACATAGATTACGTTCATTGAAATACAAAACGTCACAACAGACACGGTCAAAGCGAGCGAGTTGTGACAACACCGTAAGATGGTGCTAAAGGAACAGCACTGTCCAAAATAGGAAAATTAACAATAGGGAACGAAAAATCGTCCCTTTTGTCGAAAATTTTAGTGTGGAGTTTCCCGTATAAAACAGAAATTTCTAAATCAAGGAAAGGACAGTTTTTACCGTTTATATTTGATTTATTTAAAGTAAGTTCCTTTTGGTAAATTTCGGCAGTATATTTAGAAAATTCTTGATTATTTAAAAAAAAAATATCATCAGGATAACGGTATTTGTTAAATTTATCAATTAAATGGAATTTAGACGGGCCTTTACTGAGATTGGTCATAAACTAATAGTATAGATCAACTTAACAGGATTTAAGATTAATAATAGAAGCCATAATTATGAACACATGATATATCGATGTATACTTTATTTAGACAGCAGACAAAAACAGATATCCAATAGAGGTCATCGTGTGACCTTCAATGATACACGAAATATTTGTAACGCAAGTTTATTTGACGTGTTTATTTCATTTAAACGTGTTAGAATGTTCATACAGTCAATCTATCAAAACTCAATGTTTAAACATAACAATAGATTCGGAGATATTGTTACAGGGAATAGTAGCATGTTTATCAAATTTCAATTTTCATCATTATAACAATTGTATCTTTACATAATTGTATTTGTTCAAAACATCTTTTTAACAACCAATAAACTTTATTTGTAAGAGGTCAATATTTATGCATTCCTTTACTTGTAAAGAAGTCAGCTCTTGGAGGCCTTGATGGTGTAACAACATGAAGTGAAAATCTGTCATCATTTTCAAGAAAATTCTTATTTTTGGCATATGGGTCACGTGCACCATAATCGTATCCAAAGTCCCGACTGCTTTTCACGTCTGCATAGGAATTACGCTGTGTATAATCAGTGCCAAGGGAGCTGCCCTTCTTTTTGTCCGAACCATGTTTCGTGTACACAGTCTGTTTTTCAAGAGGACGTTTACTGTCTGATGGCCCCCTCTTATGTAACTTTTCATATGGATATTCTTTAAGATCTGGAATTAAGCAAAGCATTGCTATGAGTGCGAATGCAGTAGCTACAATTGAAAGTCCAGCTGACCATGCAACATAATAAGGGAAATCTATCTGTAAGATCCATAGTACCAATCCAGCTGCTGAACTACTCACTGAAACAGAAAGAATAATCCGTGTAAGAGATAACATTTTTATATGCCTTTTAAATAAATATGGACAATCTAATCGTTTGAAATATGGAAAGATATTTGTGTTTTATTTTTAAGTTTGAACTTTAGCAAAGATGACTGTTTGTGATTTTAAATAGGTCAGTTATGTTGTTAAGGGAATGTATGGATATGTAATTTTTATTTTCAGATAGAACTATTGTTACAAGACTTGATTGTTATACCTCACTGTTTGTGTATGTCTATCGTACATCACTTAACGCCCCCACGCACGCACACACATCTCATATTTTGATAGTTTAATATCTAGTTTTCTGCCTAGTGTTTAGTGGATTGTTGTTTATGAAATAAGGACAATAATAATTTAAAGATATCTAGATGCCAATAGGTAGACAGACGGGTAGCTTTACAAAGGTCAAGCTCTAAATCGTCCCGGTTCCATAAAAGTTGTGAATATATTTTACAGAAATCATCAAAGATCTGCAATAAACACTCAGTTCTCCATATAATTAAGAACATAAAGAAATAACGAACAACATCTATACGGACGATTTTGTTTTCGATTTACCCCCCCCTTTTTTAGTTTCTCCCTCTTTTTAAAAAGGACTATTTTTATTGTTCTTGTACTATTCAGTGTAATACTGTTTATTTCAAACTTTTTAGACTCGAACTATGTAAAAATATACCCCTCTCGATATCACAAGGAAAATGTTGAAATATATTTTCCAAATCCTGTATGACTTATTACTATACTGGTGAGTTTATATCGTACTTTGAATACTTGTATGACAGAACATGAGTTAAATGGTCATGAAATGGCGATGATGCACGTTGTTGTCCACAGTCACCACATAATTTGCGGAGAAAACTACTTTTCAATATAAACACACATATTAAAATTATCTCAATTTTAATGCTTTTAAACTGAGATTAAAATAACCAATTACGTAAAGGTATATGAGGAACAGAAGAATTTACCTGCTAAGGCAAGAAATATAATAATGGCAGCTGCCATTCCATGCCTTCTACTACAATCTGCCGCGACATAACAACAGTACATGATCATCGCTACCAGTAGCAATCCAGCACAACCACCTTCAAATCCTAACGTCAATGTGAATGTTACTATAAAATTATAATATTAATTATGATATTTTTAATATTAATTTCATGTTTTTTATTTTGTTTACAGATAGATATAAAAATAAGGAGATGTGTCATGATTGCAAATGAGACCATTTAAACAAAAGAGAATGCTTTAAGATAGAATACTATTCATAAAAAAAACATTAGAAATTTTGTGAAATGCAATGAATTTTAATTTTATGTTGCAGTCACCTTTTCTTTAGGGGAATTTAAGTTCCTATATGCCATTTTTTTCCTTGTTGAAATAGTTATTTTTTTTTCATAGTGATTAAGATTATAACACAATGTTGACTGCTGTAACCCAATTTTTGACATGTTTACCTATTATGTTATTTTGTTTTGCTCGCACACTGTTGTCAATATAATGGAATTCTATGCGCCTGTCATACAAGTGAGAAGTTTAGCTAGCTATAAAACCAGTTTTAATCCACCGTTTTCTTACCAAGTCAGAAATATGCCAGTTGTTTTCCATTCGTTTTGGTGTGTTTGAGCTTTTGATGTTGCCATTTGATAAAGGACTTTCCGTTTTGAATTTTCCTTGGATTTCGGTATTTTTGTTATTTTACTTTTTTTTGTGATCAAATAAGGAAAATCCTGAAATATCATACTTACACGATTTATAGGAAGACGGTGTAAGCACTGAAAAACAACTTATATCAGCCGAACAGTTGGTAAACCACCATAATCCAACACGAAGATCATTAAGATCTAGTACTGTATTATATACCATCCAATTATTTGTTACATAACCAGATGCCTGGAGCCCAAATGCACACACGGCACAGAGAAGTCCTATTTTCGACCATCCGGAGGCACGACTACAGCATCCCATGACCAGCGTGTCGGTAGAGGAAAGAGAAATCTCGTATTAAGCCCTTAATGTTTTACGATTTCAAAATCGTAATCAATTTAAATGTTGCCGTTTCAAATATATAGGTTCACTGGTTTATTACATTTAAAAAGTCAGTTGGAATATCAATTACTTTTGCAATTAATAGATAACAATTCAGTGATATGCTTTTTACCTTTCTAAAACGAAACGTCAGACAATTCACTGCACATATGATTTAAACAAATCAATATCGGTAACAATGTGAAGAATTATAATCCACCATTTTAACCAAAAAAATAAGTAAAAACTTTTTTACATCCTAAACCTAAACCTATTCAGAATGTTTCTGAAGAGGACTAACTTGGCGAACAGGTTGGCGGGCTGGCGAACATTTCTCCAATCCTGTTTAAGCCGACACAGATGACCACAAATATGTTCAATTAGCCGTAGCCACAATCCCATTCTCTCTTCAATTATGACTCATTACCGATTTCAATCTGAGTTTCACTTGTCATTAGCAACATGAATGATGCCTCTTCAAGAGTTCTCCCCTTGTTAAAGTGTCATTTTTGTAACTTTTCCTTTCTGTGTTGAATTTTGTGATATTTCATTTCTCAACGGTTGTATTATCAGATCTGTTGAAAGCGTCAGCGAACATGTTTAACATCGCCACATTCTGTATATGTCTGTTCCAAGTCAGGAGCTTGTAATTCAGTGGTTGTCGTTTGTTGCTGTATATCATATTTGTTTTTCTATTATTGTTTTGTACATAAATCAGGTCGTTAGTTTTCTGGTCTGAATTGTTTTACGTTTGTTACTTTTTTGTTTTATGTGTAGTGTTCTGTAAATTATTGATTATATTTGCGTCTTATTTTTCATTAGCGATGGGGTGTCTGTCCTTCGAAGTGCCGTTTGTTATTTACTCTTTTATATCTTTTGACCTTGTCAGATTATACATATATTTCATCTAAATATTGCAAAAATCAAATAAATAAAATTTCTTTAAATTTATTTTCAGAAATAAAAACGGTATTAGTCTATTTTACAATCAAAACGGGTAAATGCATATACAAACATTTCTTACAATAAAAACAACTATTTATAATAAAATTCCTAACAATAAAGCTAAAACATGTTGCATCCTTTCTTCGATATTGAAATAAAAAACAAATGACAAATGTAAAATGTTTCAACACACATCTGACGTGCATAAACTTGAAACGAGTCAGTATGCAAAAATTGACCTAAAATAATGGAAGGACATAATCTGTAAACTTTGACGTCAAGCAATTTCTCTTGTGACGTCAACATGTTTCAGGAAAACCTCTGTAATTGCGGGCAAATGCAAAATGCTTGTATTCAAATACGTTACCATATATTTTTATTTACCAAAACACATTCCAATAAAAATTTCTAACTAGATTATTTGTCATATTTTCTTATATTTTAACTGTTATTTGCTGTCTTTTAAAAGGTTAAATAATCACAGTTCTTATCCTGTATGTCGCTTAGAAATACACGAGAGGTTTTTGCTATAACATTTTTTATTTCTGGTAAAAGGGAGATAACTCTAATGTAAAAAAGATGTCCCATCACAAATTAAAATTGCAATACTAGTAAATATAAATATGTCAGATTAGTATGATATATAAGTGAAATAGAAGTTGCTCAAATAGAGGTTTCAAAAATATTAAAATTAATAAAATTACAGCAGGTTTCATACTTAAAAAATAGAAATGAAGTGCAAATGAATAAAAAGTTTACTCCATGTATTTTGTATGCCAACAGCTAATATCCCCAAAAACATCAAATAAACATGACAAGGTTCTTTCATTCACAGTCAGAGTAAACACATTTGACACAAACAAAATAGTTAAATAACATTAATGCTGACAGTAAGAATTTCTGCAATAGGAAAGATAACTTTAGTATAAAATTTATATTACATTACGTTCTACACGTGTTAGGTCTAAACTATGTTGACCTCATGTGATTTGCACAATGATAACAAACAATAATTTGTACAAAGACAAACAGTTGTTATATTGATTTTTCATATATGTTAACATCTGACCTCTTTTGTATTAGTAACAGACGCTTCTCTAGAAATCTATAACAAGACGTTGGTCATGTCCCATAAATCGTGCAGACTTATACTAAATCCATCTTTAAAAAATAATCCAATGTATAAACACTATGTAAAGGATACTAACATGAGAAAAATGGGCTGTTTTATTTTCTGAGTTAGTTTACAAGCAGCTCGTAGTCTGCATTAATCTGTGTGTTTATATGTCCCATTCTTGTTTACATACGTTTTACGCCTATCCTTCAAATTATGGAAGATAAAAGCAAGTAAACAAAACGGTGAAAATGTCTCTAAATGTCAACAATCAATTTTATCAAGTTAAAACAATAGCAGCGTGATTTTTTTTCTTAAAAAGATTATTCTAAAATTTCAACAGTATGTAAAAAATGGCTAATAAGAAATACCACTTTTGATAACTAATATAAAATACTCACGACATTACCAATTGGATTCTTTAAAAATTATAGTGCTACTCGTGTTTATGGTAGAAACGACTGATGTTCTAAAAATTTAAACGACCACTGTTTCGTATATATTTCTTGAGTATTTTGAGAAATCCAATTAAAATTTTGTTTTTACAATGATGAAAAAGTTCCCTAATAAAAAATGAAACATTTAAGATACAATTTACACATTGGTGTTTTTCTTTCTCTTCCAGCACAGAAACGTTTACGTCTTACAATGATGAACATCAGCAGTAATAAGGGTAAGCATGATACAAGAAATAAAATTAAAATTTCACTCTCAATCAACCCAATCACAAACTATGTGATGCAATTAGCATTTTTTTTCCACTACAAACACATATGTATATACAACAGATTCTAAATCAATTTGTACAGCCTAATGTAAAGTAACTGTTCTCCAGTACAATGATAGTTAATTCTTTTCACAATCAATATGCATTCTGTGTATTGGAATAGAAGCAATATTCACACAGGCAACTTGCAAAGTAAAAGAATGTAATTCAATAAAAAATCCAATAATGTTGATCTTTCTACTAGGATATCCTTTGTAACAACATAGCTGTTCAAATGAATAAAGCATTCAATAGAAACCCTGAGATATTATCAGCTCTACATTTAGTGTTACAAGTCATTTTACTTATATCAACCTTAATGGAAGAACTTCGTTCTGGGGAAATATATACATGCTGCATGAAAATGTTTGGGGTTTTCGTTCTCGTTCCCTCTTACTTATCTGTACCTCAATTATGTCATTGAAGAAAAAAGGATATGCGTGGATATACATCAGACAATATTCTCGTGGGTGTATTTATCAAGTGTAATATCGCTTACCCATAGTTTGCTTCTCCTATCCATACAATTCAAATGATTTTACGTACATATTACATGTCTATTAAACTCATACCATTTAAAGAAAATCTCAGTGGCTATATAATTATTGCTTTGTAATAAATAACAGTATTGAAGTATAATAATAGTACAGTTTTTTAATGATAGCTTTGTAACCAAATATAAAAGTAAAAAGCTGTATCCCAATTCTTTAAAAACCCTCCCAATATTTTGTCATTTAAAAATAAATTAATTCACGTTGATGTTGTGACGTATTTTCTTCGATTTCCTCCTTTCTCGTTACTCCCAGAGGTAGATGGAGGTGGTGATCTGAAAACAAAAAATAAACAATTGCAAAATGTTCTACTTTTCCACAGTAATCTAAGCAAAAGTCAATCGTGATTCCTGTGCAGCTGAAAATTTTTAAATATGAAAAAAACATGCATGCATCAGTGCGAATCCACAATCGGTCAAAATGTCACAACCGGGAAAATGACACAATCGGTTAATCTATATATATAGACATCGCTAGTGAGTACACAGACACGTCGATCTATATATCTAGGACCACGAAAATATATCGCTAGTGAGTACACAGACACATCGATCTATATATCTAGGACCGCGAAAAGATATCGCTAGTGAGTACACAGACACATCGATCTATATATCTAGGACATCGAAAAGATATCGCTAGTGAGTACACAGACACATCGATCTTTATATCTAGGACCGCGAAAAGATATCGCTAGTGAGTACACAGACACGTCGATCTACATATCTAGGACCGCGAAAAGATATCGCTAGTGAGTACACAGACACATCGATCTATATATCTAGGAACGCGAAAAGATATCGCTAGTGAGTACACAGACACATCGATCTATATATATAGGACCAAAGATATCGCTAGTGAATACACAGACACATCGATCTATATATCTAGGACCAAAGATATCGCTAATGAGTACACAGACACATCGATCTATATATCTAGGACCGCGAAAAGATATCGCTAGTGAGTACACAGACACATCGATCTATATATCTAGGACCGCGAAAAGATATCGCTAGTGAGCACACAGACACATCGATCTATATATCTAGGACCGCGAAAAGATATCGCTAGTGAGTACACAGACACATCGATATATATATATAGGACCAAAGATATCGCTAGTGAGTACACAGACACATCGATCTATATATCTAGGACCGCGAAAAGATATCGCTAGTGAGCACACAGACACATCGATCTATATATCTAGGACCGCGAAAAGATATCGCTAGTGAGTACACAGACACATCGATCTATATATATAGGACCAAAGATATCGCTAGTGAGTACACAGACACATCGATCTATATATCTAGGACCGCGAAAAGATATCGCTAGTGAGTTCACAGACACATCGATCTATATATATAGGACCAAAGATATCGCTAGTGAGTACACAGACACATCGATCTATATATCTAGGACCGCGAAAAGATATCGCTAGTGAGTACACAGACACATCGATCTATATATCTAGGACCGCGAAAAGATATCGCTAGTGAGTACACAGACACATCGATCTATATATCTAGGACCGCGAAAAGATATCGCTAGTGAGTACACAGACACATCGATCTATATATCTAGGACCGCGAAAAAGATATCGCTAGTGAGTACACAGACACATCGATCTATATATCTAGGACCGCGAAAAGATATCGCTAGTGAGTACACAGACACGTCGATCTATATATATAAAACCGCGAAAAGATATCGCTAGTGAGTACACAGACACGTCGATCTATTTATCTAGGACCGCAAAAAGATATCGCTAGTGAGTACACAGACACGTCGTATCGGCCAAACAACTACTAAGTGACGTATGTAGTGTCAATTCAGGAATGATGATAAAAGAAACATATAGTTTTATGCGATTTCTGGTGAAATCGGATGTTTTGAAAGAACAATAGACCGCATGAAAATCGAAAGTTTTCATGTACAATGTCCGAAGAACGTCAGTATAGAACACAGAAAAAAATATAGGAAACATTTGTCTTGTTTGAAATATATGTAAACGAATTATTTTGTATCTTATTTCAAAAGTGTGAAAATCGTTTTTATTAATTGCGTGCAATCATTTTTAAAGGTTTTCTTTGTTCAGTTTGATGGATACAGTAAAATATCAAATGTGTTTGACTTGCTTGTAAAAGAGCTATAGTATCATAATGGTCCACAATTGCAAGTCCTGTTTAATTCCATCACAACCCGTATGCGACATGGAGTGATGCCGAAATAATGTTCCCTAATGTTTAGTTTTTATTATCTCTTCCATGGTAACTGCATGAACACGGAAATTATTATGCAATACAATATTATATTGCTGTGCAAGTCGTAAGTGTTTTTTGGCTTTGGCGATAGTGTCGGATTAAGTGATGACCAAACCAGATAGCTAGATATCTTTAGTTCTTTTCTTTCTTGATATCGTTACACTGTTTTCATCTATTTAACGATCGGTACCGCTGTAAGAGGACCCCCAGTCCCCAATTGAAAAATCTGCACAGTAGCCAGTGCATCGGTAGTGGCATCATTCAAATGGGTTATTTCCAGTTCGTAAAATATTGTAATTGTGCTCAAGCCAAAGTTGACCGTAGAAGATTTTTGCTTTTCTGTTTAGTTGATTTAGATTTTGGCGTTCGCACACGTTTTTATATTTTATGCTTTCAAAACCTATTGTCTCAAGTGAACTAGTATGAGATTGCTCTGAAGTCTAACGGCTGTTTTGATGACGATTTGGTGCCTTCAGATGTCAGATTGCAGGCCAAATATAACTCTTCGAAATCACCAACCAATACATGGTGCGGAAAATTTCTTTCTTAAAATCGCCATACTGGTAGATCTTTATTCATTTTTTCCATGAAATTTACTCTTTTATTCACCGACTACCCCGCTCCCTAATATCGTAAAATGAAAGCTTTATTCCCATCAATCCTCCTTTTTACGCGATGCATACGACAGCAAACACTGGATCATGAGTTCAAAATTGTTTTTTTTCGGGGCGGGTCATCGAGGTCATATGCATACATTTGTTTGTTCTACACGAGGGCGGGGTGGGGTGGCTGGTGGGTTGTAGGGGGTTGTGTGTGTGTGTGTGTGTGTGTGTGTGTGTGTGGGGGGTAATAAAAGGGCAATATGAGTGGTGAAAAAACAAATAAGGAAAAGGATGATGCATGTTCATCTTCTTAGCAGAATATCTATCAAGATTTCAAGACAGAAACTTGTTGCACCAAGTCTGGGTCCAAAGGCACAAACCAGTCCATAAAATTAGGCCGACGGACGTCAGCGAAGGCCGAACTATTCCAGAAACACGTTTGATGCAGACGGAAATCAAACATGTACGAGAGAATCACTTTTTTATAATAACATCAACGGTACCAATTTTTCTGCACCAGATGCGTATTTCGACAATTAATGCCGCTTCAGCCGGACGCACTAGACCATATCTGAAATAACAAAACCTAATACGGATGTTTCAAAGCTGATAAAACGAAATACGACCAAAAACAAAAACCAAACCCTGACAAGGAAGCATTCTCTGCATGACTGAGATATGGAAGGCTACATAACTTACAATGGTGCTGAGTCCTTTTTCTTCCTGCCACAAAGAACGATAATCAAAATTAAAGCTATTATTTCAGCTATTATGCCGATGGCTGGCCATAAAGGTGCAAGTCGACCTGGAAGTAAAACAAATTACATGAAATATGGTATACAGTAATTTTATAAAGATTATTTTTTTTTAATTTTTACTCCCAATTGTCCATCAATTCATACACGTGGACCTTGCAATGACAAGTCGTTAAAATAAGTACCACACTGTAATGAGTTTAGGGAGCTACCATTTGATTTTTATGGGGGGGGGGGGGGGGGGGGGGGGGGGGGACTAGGATGAAAAATGTTGTCCTGCATTTTTTTCTAGTTGTAATCTCTGTCCTGCCTTTTTATTTTTCACTCTATTCGGTCCTACCTTTTTTTTATTAGTTTATCCTGACTTTTTTTTACATAAATTGTCATCCTGCCTTTTTTTTTGCCAAGTTGCTCATCCTACCTTTTTTTTAACTCAAAACTCCTGTCCTGCCTTTTTTTCAAATTTCATCCTAGCCCCACCCCCCCCCCCCCCCCCCCCCCCCCCCATAAAAATCAAATGGTAGTTCCCTTACTAACTTCGTTTCATTTGACAGCCTCCACGATAGACTTTATTAATATGAAGTAGGTAAAACCTGTGAAAGAGGACGAATTTCTTAAAGTTTTCGTGATACTTTTTGGTAATCAAATCTACATTGTCTCCGTCAATAGGGTAATACGCAAGTGTCACTGTTAGCAATTTTGGATTCACAAGTACATGTATATTGATTTTTTTTTTAATTGACGTTCTTACTGTTAGTTTAAACATATTTTATTTACATAAACACAAATTAGTTAAGACACAAGTCAAACAGACTTATGAAGTCTTCTCCATTTACATATTTAACAATACAATATATAAGAGCATGCATACATTACATATTTTTTCAACATCTGTATAAATTGGAGAGAAAAATTAAGTGGCACAAAAGAAGAAGAGAAAAAAATAGAACACAAAAAACAACAAGAAATAAATTAATAAAAAAATAAAAACAAACAAACAAACAAAAAACAAACAAACAAACAAAAAACAAAAAACAAAAAGTACTGCTATTGAAAACTTGCTCCAATCAATCAACTTTTTAACTTAAAAATCCTCGTATCAATTACTCGAAAAATATCTCTAACTCAAAAGTAAAAAAAAAGAAGGATTCCATAAATGAACTTATATTGGGTGGACAGTTGTCTCATCGGCAATCCATATTTTTATATTAACTTACTTTTCACACGAACTAAGTGTTTGAATGTAGCTTCTCCGGAGTACCATTTAGCTGTACACATATAATGTCCCCTGTCTTCTGGTATAAGGTCTGTTATTTTTAATTGTCCATTTTTTGTTGTTTTACCATAAACAGAATAACTTGCCCGTTCAACCATGTCCAGTGCGGGACTAATGTCTCTTGACCATGTGACATTAGCCATTAATGCACTTAATACTGGACATACCAGTGTTAGTGTTTCCCCTTCTGTGTAAATACTAGAGGTTGTCTGGAAATTTTTTCGATCATTTTCTTTCGTATCTGGAAACATAATGAAACAAAACACTGTTGTTAAAAGGTATAGATTTATTTTTTTACAGAAACACGTTCCCGTGTTATTATAAGGTCCAGAGTACTAGTATTTATTTTTACAGAAACACGTTCCCGTGTTATTATAAGGTCCAGAGTACTAGTATTTATTTTTACAGAAACACGTTCCCGTGTTATTATAAGGTCCAGAGAACTAGTATTTATTTTTACAGAAACACGAACCCGTGTTATTATAAGGTCCAGAGTACTAGTATTTATTTTTACAGAAACACGTTCCCGTGTTATTATAAGGTCCAGAGTACTAGTATTTATTTTTACAGAAACACGGTTCCGTGTTATTATAAGGTCCAGAGTACTAGTATTTATTTTTACAGAAACACGTTCCCGTGTTATTATAAGGTCCAGAGTACTAGTATTTATTTTTACAGAAACACGTTCCCATGTTATTATAAGGTCCAGAGTACTAGTATTTATTTTTACAGAAACACGTTCCCGTGTTATTATAAGGTCCAGAGTACTAGTATTTATTTTTACAGAAACACGTTCCCCGTGTTATTATAAGGTCCAGAGAACTAGTATTTATTTTTATAGAAACACGTTCCAGTGTTATTATAAGGTCCAGAGTACTAGTATTTATTTTTACAGAAACAGATGTCTGTGTTATTTTTATGAATAGTATAACTTTTTCCTGTGGTATTATATGGTATAGGGTATTTTTTACACAAAGAAATACCCATGCTATTATAAAACAGAGGCGGGAGATATCAAGGGGACAAATCTCACAAGTCATGGCAAAAAAAACCCAAAGACGACGAAAACTTGGACAAACAAATTCACAAAACACTACATACAAAACCGAAGATTGAACGAACCCCAACAAAAACTTTGGGTAATCTTCGAAAGGGTTGCAGAACCTGCTCCATTATTGGCACCCGTCATGTTACTCATGGTAAGTACAAATCGGCGATGAGTCTCATTAGGAGTTATCACAATCGATAATAAGGTTTCGACAATTAGAACATATCCGTGGTCATCTGTGACACAGATATTTCATAACGGATAACCAACTCGTGATGATGTCCGTAAAACTTTCGAAGGGATAACTGCAACTTTATCACTTGGAACCCTTGGTTAAATAGTTTCATTGTAAGCAGCAACCCTCTTTCAAGAAAATCATGTTTGGAAACGCAAACCCTAAATATTGTATCAACTGGGAGATATATTCTTCATATACAGGTGCTGCACTGGAATGTTGTTACATAGAAATGGAAAATTCACAATTGGAAAGCTGAAATCATCCCTTTTGTCGTAAGTTTTGTTCTCAGTCGACCCTATTTGTCAATTTCTAGAAGTAAGTCAAGATATGAAGCAGATTTAACTGTATCTATGGTATCTTTTATTTCAAGTTCGATGGGGTATATAGATGCGATTAACATAGCCACTTAAGTAGGGGGACATCATTTATAAAGAGGAACGTGAAGCAATCTTCTTTTGATTTTTCCTGAGAAGCTGCTGTTTGCAGTCTACCTCATAAGAAGAAAGGAATAAGTCGGCAAGAAGAGCACAATTGATTCCCATAAGAATACCGATATTGTTGTAGAAAAACACGTCCTCCAAATGTAACAAAATATCAAGCATCTTGAAGGTGTCAGTTTCATAGATTTTTTGGTTTGAATCAAAGTGGGTATTTTACAATGTACGATTAAGGCCTTCCTAAAACAAACTAGGAGTAATTTTTCCAATCTGTTATTAAGGTTAGAATTGGGAATACTAGTGTAAAGAGTAGAGAAGCCAAATGTTTTAATACTGTTGCAAGAAAAGAGACTTGTATTTACATGTGTAACAAAAGGCAATGTACACGATCATCACAAGGTATGTATGAATCATGGTTGCAAATATATAATAGTGTTTACAAAATCATGCAAGAGTTATTTAAAATATTCTTACTATTCTAAAAACAATCAGGGATGAGTTCTTTATATTGCAAAACCGAATGACGCCCTTTCATTTATCAACACTTGGATATCTACAATAATATTCGGGAATATGCTTATTACGGGTGTTTCTCTACAATAAAAGACTGACACTTAAATAAATAATGAAATTCGTTTTCAATTGACGAGGAGCAGAAATGACAGACTTTATCTCTATGAATTTCTTACCATCTTTTCGTTTTTATTAATGAAACTTCGAGGTTGAAGCATACGAATTTATTAATATTTTTTCAAGATCTGCAAACGGTTTTATATATTCATATATTTCTCTAAGCCAAAGTTTGTTTGAAAGGTTATAGCTCTCCCCTTCTCTTCATGTGGTTTTGTATATTTATGTATTTCTGTAAGCCGAAGTTGGTTTGAAAGGTTATAGCTCTCCCCTTCTTTTCGTGTGGTTCAATTGTTGGATGAAATCATCTGTGAATCTTTGCTTTATGAACGTTTTTATATGATTTTGGATTTATCTTACATTGGTGATTCCAAACATAACTAAATCCAGTTTTGTCAAAGGTTGAGTTTACTTCTTAAATCCATTTAAATTATGCAATCCAGATTCATGCAACTTGGACATTGTAATGTACAAACAGTTTAATGGAAGTTAACTTTCGATTGTTGCAAATAATTTGATTTCAATAACCTTCTTTTCTAAGTTTGATAAAGATGTCAAGCGGAGTTCGACCGAGCTCACCATTCATCTTAAAGTTTTGAGTTGTAATCTTATACCTAGAGTGTTTAAAACAAAATGCAATTGTATCTTTTCCAAAATGTAGATGTTTCCAATACCTCACGGAGATAACTGGAAGTACAAGTGTGGATAGTAAACTCCCATTGACAGAAACAAGTGCCTTCGCTTTTAGTATAGAAATCGTTGACAATTTCTCACAAAAAAAAAGATAAAAGAAGAAAGGCGCCTTTGTCGCATGATAAGCTGCATTTTTTCCCTCTCGCTTAAATGGTCTTAAATAGTCCATTAAGTGGGCTCGCTGGTATTAAATTTCGCACCCACTTCACCGACTTTCCGACACATGGACTTCCTTGACACTTCAGACAAAAAATATTCGGTGATGTGAAACAGTTCAAATAAATATAAGAGGTGTTTTGATCGATTTAATTTTTTTTTTTTTTTGCCAATAAACGATGAAATGTTTTATTGAAAATTTTACTTCCAAAAGCTTATCAATTGTGATGAAGAAACGGTTTGAAGTTTCAACCAAATTATCTCCCTTTTCCCGCAAAAATTTCTCATGATTGCATTGTGATCTTTCCGAAAACCCATCGGTGACCTGTAAACTTTAAGGAAACATTCTACTAAGCTGTACTTAATTTGTTGATTTAAAAATATTTTTTTTGGCAATTTCTGATTTCTGTTTGAGTATGTCAACACCCCTATGTTTCCTATAATTACAATGTAAAATAGCAGCTTATGCATGCTTTTTTTGTTAGCATGGATGAACGATTACCCCCTTATTTGTTCTAAATAATTTTATGACATGCGTGCTCAAGGTGAATTTACATGAAATAGCATATCAATTTAAACAAAATTCTGTGGATAAAGTTTTCGAGAAGTTGGAATAATTGAAGTGAAATTAACGACGTGTAACAACTGTTATTCACTTTTTCATTTATGGTGTCGGATGGTATAAAATATACTCTCCGTGTATTCCGGCTTCATCTACCAATAAAAACAAGCCGTCATGCTGCAGCCAAGCGTGTCGAAAGTGGCGTTAAACACCACAGTTAACCAACCCCTCAATAGAAGCTGTTCTGAACTAGACCATCTAAGAAGTTTTTAGTACATTTCGAGATTTTTAAATACTTTATATGAGAAATGACTAGATTTATACATACAAGAGAAAGTAGACTAGTGTACTTTGCGATCGTCTCAATTCTGCACGCGTATTCTCATATGTGAGATGAATGCAATTGTCGCTATTAATAAACATAAGGCATATCAAATATGTAATCTGTAAAAAACAATTGGCAGATCATATACCTGATCATGCATATAAATATTTTCTTCTAGTTCATATGTTTACCTCTGAACCTTTCAACAATTATAGTGACATTACTTAACATTAAAATACACACTGGGTCTTCATGTTATCTAAATAGTGATAAATCCAACATCAACAAAACAATGGAATTCATTTTACTTGAGAAAATGACTATATACAGCTTACCTCGGAACACTTCAATGGATACGGATTGTTCTTGTGAACCATCAAATTTGCAGGTGTACGTTCCAGTGTCCCCTTCAACAAGTTTGTCTTTACTTATAACTAGTGTACTTAATCCAGTTTTGCTATCAAAACTCCTGGTTTGGGTATAATTTGTGTCAGTTACACTTGGAATCGAGAACGTCAGTTTGTTACTCATATCTGTACCTGTGTTTTGACTACATGTCAAATTAATGCCTGCACCTTCTAAAAACGTGCGCTTTCCCTGGTGCCGTATACCTTCAATTTCAACCCCTGAAAAGACACCAATAAACAATTATATAGCAATGGTCAAGATATCAATGAACAATATATCAATGAGCAAGATATGATGTGTATTGATAATATCAATACACATGATATCAATGGACAAGATATCAATGAACAAGATATCAATGAACAAGATATCAATGCACAAGATATCAATGAACAATATATCAATGAGCAAGATATGATGTGTATTGATAATATCAATACACATGATATCAATGGACAAGATATCAATGAACAAGATATCAATGAACAAGATATCAATGCACAAGATATCAATGAACAATATATCGATGAACAATATATCGATGGACAAGATATCAATACACATGATATCAATGCACAAGATATTAATGAACAAGATATCAATGAACAAGATATCAATGAATAAAACATCAATGGACAAGATAGCAATGAACAATATATAAGTGAACAAATTATTAATGATATCAATGAACTATATAATAATATATAGATATTCTCTGCTATATAATCATACCAATATACATACTGAGTAATTAAGAATGTTTTAAATTTTAACATAGATTTCATTTGAGATGTTTAATAGTCAATTTTGTACGCACTTTTCAACTCAAAGACTTTTACATATCCTAATAATGAGGCCATTTTTTCCTGAAGATTTTGTATGATGGTCGATGAGACAACTATTCACCAGTTATCAAAGGACAAGGATTTAAACAACTGTAGGTATCCGTGCAGCCTTCAACAATGAACAAACCACACGACCGTGTAGTAAGCTATAAAAGGCGCAGAAGTGACAAAATGTGAAACAATGCAAACGAGAAAACAAACGGCCTGATTAATTCTAAAAAACAATGAACTTAAAATAAATATGGATAAAAAATAAAGAATGTGATTAGGTTAAAAGTGGTTGTGGGCGCTCAACCCTCCCAATTATCGAGTCTTGTCTCTTAGGAATTGTTGGAGGGCGTACGTTGACCTATTTTTTTTTACATGCCTGATCTTCGGTCTTTGGTGATTAATTGTCCATTAGCAATCATACCACATCTCCTTAAATTTAAGCTAAATCTTACATCGTTATATTGTGTTTTTTAAGTATATATGCACTTCCAATAAAAGTTAAAATGTGCCCGTTTACAAGAATTGTGTCTCTAGATTATCAATCTGATTAAAATTCAGACCTGTCGTAACTCGTTTAATCATCGAAGATCTCCCTTATGAGGATAACGAAATCTGGGATCTATATTTTGATAAGATTGCTAGCTTATCTTATTCCATTGCCCTGTTCAACAGGTAGTATGTTTTATGGTGTGGCATTTTATCTGCTGTCTAGCAATAGGGAAGACGAAAACGAGTCGAAGATGAAAAAGATAATAATTTTTATTTTCAAATTGTGGTTCCAATAAGGGCATGAATATTTAATATGAAAACAAAAAAGTAAGCTTCAACAATTTAACGGGTCAAGAGACGCATATCGCTGTTGATAAAAACAATGTTTATTATTAGTTATTTTATGTAAAATACTGCTATAACAAGGTCATATACTATAACTTTAATTTTTTTATAAGTTATAAATATAGTAGACGATTGGCTGTATAAGGTGTACGTCAATTTTGCTGTAATATATCGGATTGTGCGTACATGTCGAGAACGTCAAGACAATTTGAAGATGTAATCCTTGTATGAAATCATTGTCTCTTGTAGGTGGGCTTCGTGTTGTTCAGTCTTTTTGGTCTTTTTAGTTTTTTTGCCATGGCGTTGTATGTTTGTCTTCGACTTATGAGTTTGAATATCCCTTTGATATCTTCCGCCTGTCTTTACGCTATGTTGCATTCCTTTGTCGTGTAACTTTGTGGTCCTTCTGATGTGACAGTTTTCATCTATATACGTTTTCCTGATGTACAATACCATCTAGAGTTTTCAATACCATTTCAAGTCTTTTGTTTTTCCCAAGCCACATGACATAAACTCGAGCTCTCAACTAAATGTTATCATGTAAATAACCTCAGCATTTTTGCCCATGGTTACCAATTGGTAAAATTAGGAGGAGGAAACATTCATAGCTTCTCCAGATGTTTCGAGAGCTGATCTTTTTTTCAGAAGTTCCCAAAATAGAAAGTTTAAGAAAAGGTTTAGACTGACTGATGCCTTTAATCACTTTATGTAACGTTTGATTCTGATCTGAATACTTTCCTCTATGCCAATAGAAATTATTTGTAGCGAGTGGAATGATAATGCTTCTTCCAACAAACATGATGGGTGCCAACAGAATATTATGATTTGTAATTAAGAGATTAATTAATGACTACGTGTGTACGTGTGTGGAATGTCAGTTGTTCAATACAAACAAATGTATATGTGTACTACTATGTCCCGGTGAAAATACAAGAAGCATTAATTTCATTAACGATAAAAACAAAATCTGAAAAGAATAATTAGCCGTTTGTCGATGTTATGTGAATTGACATCTTTCAGAATAATAAAGTGAGCGCTAGATCCTTTTGTAATTCTATTTCACTTCAGTGTTATGTAGGTCGTACAAACATGAATTTACATTTATTTAACGGGAAGAATTTCTCTACAATATAACCGTACAACAGGTTGCCTAAAGAGAAAAATTTAAATGACGAAATATGATATAGTTATGGGTTGTATACAATACATGTATCGGTTGATAAATTTTCTAAAGGGAATCTAAATATGGAATTTCATAAGTATTTTAAACTGTACTTCATAACGTTTAATATACAAATCAATCGTTCTTGCAAATGTTTAATATTCAAATCAGTGCTACCATTTTTAATGATTATTGAATATCTACATTTAACTTATCATTCAAGGTCATTTATCTGATATTAAAAGCTTTGACCCTATATTATATAAAAGAAGTATTATCTACCTGTAATTCATAAATGCATATAACCATTATAGCTGTATTAAAATAGCTTACCTGAAACCAGAGATATAGCCAAGATTCCAAATGTTACAAAAACATCATATTGGTAAAACATCTTCGTATTATTGAGTGATAAGAAAGCTACATTTATTTAGTGACGTCAAACTGTTCTTCCTCACTATGTTTATATTTGATATGATATCGACCGGCCGCTTAGTTTACTATATCTCTCTCCTACATAACAAACGGGTAATCCACAAATCAGGGGCGGTAACCCTAATCCAGTTTTTTTTCGGATGTGAAATGTTCAGTATAATTTTTTGTCTGTGTACATCAAACTTTACACACTTAAGACTTGCACATTTGCATGTGCAATTTATTGTACTTGTATTTTATACATGACAATTGATGTGTTTTTGATGACATCTGACCAATATAAAACACCACAGGCTATGTAAAATGACATTTACATGTAATAGAAAACTTATTAATTTACAAGACAGATATATCGTCCCGTGTTATATATAAATCAACATCCAGTTAATATTGGATAGAACTGTATTGATTTGAGCTTAAAATATCCTATGAATGAGAGCAAATTAACGCAAACTGACACCATCGTAATATCGATCCCGAAGTTATCAATGGAATGAAATTAATGTGTATAAATAACGATTATTGCTGAAATCTGTATACTAGAATTGATTTGCACTGAAAATTAACATTTTTTTGTGTTTTGCTTGAGATGCTACTAGTATTTGATATTATCGGTATATTTGAGCCAAATCATTATGCACCGTTAGGATTTGTCGATTTTTTTCTTTCGACAACAATGTTCTTTATGTAAACAGGTTGTATTTTGAATTTATGAATTAAAGACCTACATGTGCTAATAGGATTCCCTTTCGAAGTATATGAATTATATTTTCCTTTAGTGTTTGGTCGATAAATATTACACGAAGAGTCTGGCTTATTTTCTATTGGACCCTTAATTGGAAATCATCATACAAATATATTGAAATCTGCCGAATTAATAAATAAGTAATCCCATGTAATATCAAACGAAAGTACTATTTGCAAACTGTAACATATCAACTTTTTTTAATATTTGATGAAAAGTTTAAGTCAGTTGCTGCAAAAATGTATGATTGCCATAACCGTTTTGACCTATTGGTGTAATAAGTAGCAGGTAACCATGGTGTTAAAAGGAGTTCTCAAATATAAATATATCGGCAATATAAATGGAGCTAATGAAAAATTTGAACCCACCACACATTGAAATGGCTAATAAAGACACAACATTTGTGTTTTCTATGTTTAGATACCTTTGTCCAAAATATACAAATTATTTTAATCCATTATGATCATTTACAAATAAGAAATTTTGCATAAAATACATGGATTATTATGACAAAATGATAAAAGTCGCTATGCGAGCACAAAATAGAGATAGAAACAATTTTAATTTGTTTGTATGTGATTGAAAGTAGCGAACATGCAGTGAAGAAAACCTGTTTAAAAATTTTGGAAATATATTAGGACTGAGTTTACTATCTGTCAATATAGCCGAAAGAGCAGAACTAACCCAATACACAGTGGATGTTTTTTTTTATTGAAGTACAATCATTGTAGTGCTTAACAAGAATATCAAGTGATCCAAATTACCAGTTTATTATATCATAAATTCTGTCTATTTAAATACCTCAGCTAATTCTGTTCATTTCATAGATTTCGTAAATAGGCAAACATGTAACATACAATAAAATAGATATATAAACGATCTTGTATATGAACTAATATACAATCATGAAAAACTTCTTTGATAAATTAAACTGAAGTGAAAAAGCAGTAAAACAAGAATTTGCGTTCATAGGACTCCATGCCCCGCTCGCACTATCACATTTCCATGTTCAGCGAACTGTGAAATCTAGGTCTAACCCCCCAAATTGGCAATAGAGAATTAAATCTGCATTTCGTGCGTATATCAGCACTAGTCGCCATGTAATTAAGTAACCATCGGTGTGACCTCCGAAGATTGCCGTTGGTCATGTGACCCGATATAAATATGAATATAAATAGACCGACAAGCAGACAAGCGGTGCAATAGTACAAACACTATTTTCCAGGTCATAGATTAAAACAATATGTAAATCATACCTGTATATGTGGGCCGAATGATTCTTCCTGGTGGATCCTTTCTTTCACTTTTCTATTTTGACATTCTTTTCTTTTTATAAACTGAACATGTTGAGCACACGCGCAAACCATCTCCAACTTAAGTTCAAATAAAGGTTGCTTACATACGGACCCAAATGAGGTCGAATCATTGTCTTGTAAGACATTTATTGTCTCGCCTGCAACGAAAGTCGCAGACTGTGAGACACAGGGATTACAATCCGGCGCGGTGGTGGCGTAAACTATTTGTATTAAGCTTTATATTTCAGAGGCTATTAGACCTGGAGTCTTCATACCTTATATAGATATACCTTGTGTTACGAAGTTTTCGTCTGTCATATGTCCGTTGTCCTCATTGTCACTCATGGTTCAGCGACTGCTTGAAAAGACGTTATTTTTTTGTTGTGTGAATTTCTCACTTATTATGAGTAAAAGGATAATTATATTTGGTATGTAGGTTCCTTGCAATGTCTACATGTCCGTCAGACGGGATTAACCTGACCTCGACCTCAGTTTTTTGTGTTTTTGTTGGTTTTTCTAATACTATAAGCAATAGGCCAAATATATTTGGTGTATGGAATGATTGTAAGGTGTACATGTCTGTTTGGCAGGGTTCATCTTATCTTGACCTCATTTTCATGGTTCATTGGTTAAAGTATAGTTTTCCTGGTCAATTCTGTTTCTCGGATATCATAAGCAATAAGGTCAGATTTATTTGATGTATGGAATGATTGTAAGGTGTACATGTCTGTCCGGTAGGGTTCATCTGACCTTGGCCTATTGTACATAGTTCATTGGTCAATATTAAGTTTTCGTGGTTTGATCTGTTTCTTGTATACTATAAGCAATAGGTCAACTATATTTGGTGTATGTGATGATTGTAGGATGTAAATGTTTATCTGGTTTGGTTTATCTGACCTTGGTCTCATTTTCATGGATCATTGATAATGTTAAGTTTACTGTCATGCATGTACTTAAAACTCTATCTTTAGGACTATCAACATAAAATCATAAATTGTAAAGTAGGCGAGACATTTCAGCGTGGGCACTCTTGTCATATCGGCGATGTTTTGAGCTTATTTTTACAAAAAAACTTTTACAGTCGTCTGATTAATATATCATATTTCCTTATGTATTTAAATGCAAATCTGCAATGTGTTCACATGTCTTTTTTACATCTGGAATGTAATGAGTTATATTCACATTGGACATACAAAAAATGGTATTTTTTAAAATTGTGAACATGAAAATAACACGTCACAGATTTTGTGAGTTTGAAACGCTCTTCTGAATTTACTTTCCTTGGGAACGCTCAAACCTAAATATTTGAAAGCCACGGATGTGTAAATACGTAGAAATGCTAGGAGCTATATGACCAAAAAGGACATACAAAGAATAACCTTAAACTTGAAAGTCGTGTCATGTGATATATGATATTCAAAATCAAACAAGATATCAATGCACAAGATATCAATGAACAATATATCGATGAACAATATATCGATGGACAAGATATCAATACACATGATATCAATGCACAAGATATTAATGAACAAGATATCAATGAACAAGATATCAATGAATAAAACATCAATGGACAAGATAGCAATGAACAATATATAAGTGAACAAATTATTAATGATATCAATGAACTATATAATAATATATAGATATTCTCTGCTATATAATCATACCAATATACATACTGAGTAATTAAGAATGTTTTAAATTTTAACATAGATTTCATTTGAGATGTTTAATAGTCAATTTTGTACGCACTTTTCAACTCAAAGACTTTTACATATCCTAATAATGAGGCCATTTTTTCCTGAAGATTTTGTATGATGGTCGATGAGACAACTATTCACCAGTTATCAAAGGACAAGGATTTAAACAACTGTAGGTATCCGTGCAGCCTTCAACAATGAACAAACCACACGACCGTGTAGTAAGCTATAAAAGGCGCAGAAGTGACAAAATGTGAAACAATGCAAACGAGAAAACAAACGGCCTGATTAATTCTAAAAAACAATGAACTTAAAATAAATATGGATAAAAAATAAAGAATGTGATTAGGTTAAAAGTGGTTGTGGGCGCTCAACCCTCCCAATTATCGAGTCTTGTCTCTTAGGAATTGTTGGAGGGCGTACGTTGACCTATTTTTTTTTACATGCCTGATCTTCGGTCTTTGGTGATTAATTGTCCATTAGCAATCATACCACATCTCCTTAAATTTAAGCTAAATCTTACATCGTTATATTGTGTTTTTTAAGTATATATGCACTTCCAATAAAAGTTAAAATGTGCCCGTTTACAAGAATTGTGTCTCTAGATTATCAATCTGATTAAAATTCAGACCTGTCGTAACTCGTTTAATCATCGAAGATCTCCCTTATGAGGATAACGAAATCTGGGATCTATATTTTGATAAGATTGCTAGCTTATCTTATTCCATTGCCCTGTTCAACAGGTAGTATGTTTTATGGTGTGGCATTTTATCTGCTGTCTAGCAATAGGGAAGACGAAAACGAGTCGAAGATGAAAAAGATAATAATTTTTATTTTCAAATTGTGGTTCCAATAAGGGCATGAATATTTAATATGAAAACAAAAAAGTAAGCTTCAACAATTTAACGGGTCAAGAGACGCATATCGCTGTTGATAAAAACAATGTTTATTATTAGTTATTTTATGTAAAATACTGCTATAACAAGGTCATATACTATAACTTTAATTTTTTTATAAGTTATAAATATAGTAGACGATTGGCTGTATAAGGTGTACGTCAATTTTGCTGTAATATATCGGATTGTGCGTACATGTCGAGAACGTCAAGACAATTTGAAGATGTAATCCTTGTATGAAATCATTGTCTCTTGTAGGTGGGCTTCGTGTTGTTCAGTCTTTTTGGTCTTTTTAGTTTTTTTGCCATGGCGTTGTATGTTTGTCTTCGACTTATGAGTTTGAATATCCCTTTGATATCTTCCGCCTGTCTTTACGCTATGTTGCATTCCTTTGTCGTGTAACTTTGTGGTCCTTCTGATGTGACAGTTTTCATCTATATACGTTTTCCTGATGTACAATACCATCTAGAGTTTTCAATACCATTTCAAGTCTTTTGTTTTTCCCAAGCCACATGACATAAACTCGAGCTCTCAACTAAATGTTATCATGTAAATAACCTCAGCATTTTTGCCCATGGTTACCAATTGGTAAAATTAGGAGGAGGAAACATTCATAGCTTCTCCAGATGTTTCGAGAGCTGATCTTTTTTTCAGAAGTTCCCAAAATAGAAAGTTTAAGAAAAGGTTTAGACTGACTGATGCCTTTAATCACTTTATGTAACGTTTGATTCTGATCTGAATACTTTCCTCTATGCCAATAGAAATTATTTGTAGCGAGTGGAATGATAATGCTTCTTCCAACAAACATGATGGGTGCCAACAGAATATTATGATTTGTAATTAAGAGATTAATTAATGACTACGTGTGTACGTGTGTGGAATGTCAGTTGTTCAATACAAACAAATGTATATGTGTACTACTATGTCCCGGTGAAAATACAAGAAGCATTAATTTCATTAACGATAAAAACAAAATCTGAAAAGAATAATTAGCCGTTTGTCGATGTTATGTGAATTGACATCTTTCAGAATAATAAAGTGAGCGCTAGATCCTTTTGTAATTCTATTTCACTTCAGTGTTATGTAGGTCGTACAAACATGAATTTACATTTATTTAACGGGAAGAATTTCTCTACAATATAACCGTACAACAGGTTGCCTAAAGAGAAAAATTTAAATGACGAAATATGATATAGTTATGGGTTGTATACAATACATGTATCGGTTGATAAATTTTCTAAAGGGAATCTAAATATGGAATTTCATAAGTATTTTAAACTGTACTTCATAACGTTTAATATACAAATCAATCGTTCTTGCAAATGTTTAATATTCAAATCAGTGCTACCATTTTTAATGATTATTGAATATCTACATTTAACTTATCATTCAAGGTCATTTATCTGATATTAAAAGCTTTGACCCTATATTATATAAAAGAAGTATTATCTACCTGTAATTCATAAATGCATATAACCATTATAGCTGTATTAAAATAGCTTACCTGAAACCAGAGATATAGCCAAGATTCCAAATGTTACAAAAACATCATATTGGTAAAACATCTTCGTATTATTGAGTGATAAGAAAGCTACATTTATTTAGTGACGTCAAACTGTTCTTCCTCACTATGTTTATATTTGATATGATATCGACCGGCCGCTTAGTTTACTATATCTCTCTCCTACATAACAAACGGGTAATCCACAAATCAGGGGCGGTAACCCTAATCCAGTTTTTTTTCGGATGTGAAATGTTCAGTATAATTTTTTGTCTGTGTACATCAAACTTTACACACTTAAGACTTGCACATTTGCATGTGCAATTTATTGTACTTGTATTTTATACATGACAATTGATGTGTTTTTGATGACATCTGACCAATATAAAACACCACAGGCTATGTAAAATGACATTTACATGTAATAGAAAACTTATTAATTTACAAGACAGATATATCGTCCCGTGTTATATATAAATCAACATCCAGTTAATATTGGATAGAACTGTATTGATTTGAGCTTAAAATATCCTATGAATGAGAGCAAATTAACGCAAACTGACACCATCGTAATATCGATCCCGAAGTTATCAATGGAATGAAATTAATGTGTATAAATAACGATTATTGCTGAAATCTGTATACTAGAATTGATTTGCACTGAAAATTAACATTTTTTTGTGTTTTGCTTGAGATGCTACTAGTATTTGATATTATCGGTATATTTGAGCCAAATCATTATGCACCGTTAGGATTTGTCGATTTTTTTCTTTCGACAACAATGTTCTTTATGTAAACAGGTTGTATTTTGAATTTATGAATTAAAGACCTACATGTGCTAATAGGATTCCCTTTCGAAGTATATGAATTATATTTTCCTTTAGTGTTTGGTCGATAAATATTACACGAAGAGTCTGGCTTATTTTCTATTGGACCCTTAATTGGAAATCATCATACAAATATATTGAAATCTGCCGAATTAATAAATAAGTAATCCCATGTAATATCAAACGAAAGTACTATTTGCAAACTGTAACATATCAACTTTTTTTAATATTTGATGAAAAGTTTAAGTCAGTTGCTGCAAAAATGTATGATTGCCATAACCGTTTTGACCTATTGGTGTAATAAGTAGCAGGTAACCATGGTGTTAAAAGGAGTTCTCAAATATAAATATATCGGCAATATAAATGGAGCTAATGAAAAATTTGAACCCACCACACATTGAAATGGCTAATAAAGACACAACATTTGTGTTTTCTATGTTTAGATACCTTTGTCCAAAATATACAAATTATTTTAATCCATTATGATCATTTACAAATAAGAAATTTTGCATAAAATACATGGATTATTATGACAAAATGATAAAAGTCGCTATGCGAGCACAAAATAGAGATAGAAACAATTTTAATTTGTTTGTATGTGATTGAAAGTAGCGAACATGCAGTGAAGAAAACCTGTTTAAAAATTTTGGAAATATATTAGGACTGAGTTTACTATCTGTCAATATAGCCGAAAGAGCAGAACTAACCCAATACACAGTGGATGTTTTTTTTTATTGAAGTACAATCATTGTAGTGCTTAACAAGAATATCAAGTGATCCAAATTACCAGTTTATTATATCATAAATTCTGTCTATTTAAATACCTCAGCTAATTCTGTTCATTTCATAGATTTCGTAAATAGGCAAACATGTAACATACAATAAAATAGATATATAAACGATCTTGTATATGAACTAATATACAATCATGAAAAACTTCTTTGATAAATTAAACTGAAGTGAAAAAGCAGTAAAACAAGAATTTGCGTTCATAGGACTCCATGCCCCGCTCGCACTATCACATTTCCATGTTCAGCGAACTGTGAAATCTAGGTCTAACCCCCCAAATTGGCAATAGAGAATTAAATCTGCATTTCGTGCGTATATCAGCACTAGTCGCCATGTAATTAAGTAACCATCGGTGTGACCTCCGAAGATTGCCGTTGGTCATGTGACCCGATATAAATATGAATATAAATAGACCGACAAGCAGACAAGCGGTGCAATAGTACAAACACTATTTTCCAGGTCATAGATTAAAACAATATGTAAATCATACCTGTATATGTGGGCCGAATGATTCTTCCTGGTGGATCCTTTCTTTCACTTTTCTATTTTGACATTCTTTTCTTTTTATAAACTGAACATGTTGAGCACACGCGCAAACCATCTCCAACTTAAGTTCAAATAAAGGTTGCTTACATACGGACCCAAATGAGGTCGAATCATTGTCTTGTAAGACATTTATTGTCTCGCCTGCAACGAAAGTCGCAGACTGTGAGACACAGGGATTACAATCCGGCGCGGTGGTGGCGTAAACTATTTGTATTAAGCTTTATATTTCAGAGGCTATTAGACCTGGAGTCTTCATACCTTATATAGATATACCTTGTGTTACGAAGTTTTCGTCTGTCATATGTCCGTTGTCCTCATTGTCACTCATGGTTCAGCGACTGCTTGAAAAGACGTTATTTTTTTGTTGTGTGAATTTCTCACTTATTATGAGTAAAAGGATAATTATATTTGGTATGTAGGTTCCTTGCAATGTCTACATGTCCGTCAGACGGGATTAACCTGACCTCGACCTCAGTTTTTTGTGTTTTTGTTGGTTTTTCTAATACTATAAGCAATAGGCCAAATATATTTGGTGTATGGAATGATTGTAAGGTGTACATGTCTGTTTGGCAGGGTTCATCTTATCTTGACCTCATTTTCATGGTTCATTGGTTAAAGTATAGTTTTCCTGGTCAATTCTGTTTCTCGGATATCATAAGCAATAAGGTCAGATTTATTTGATGTATGGAATGATTGTAAGGTGTACATGTCTGTCCGGTAGGGTTCATCTGACCTTGGCCTATTGTACATAGTTCATTGGTCAATATTAAGTTTTCGTGGTTTGATCTGTTTCTTGTATACTATAAGCAATAGGTCAACTATATTTGGTGTATGTGATGATTGTAGGATGTAAATGTTTATCTGGTTTGGTTTATCTGACCTTGGTCTCATTTTCATGGATCATTGATAATGTTAAGTTTACTGTCATGCATGTACTTAAAACTCTATCTTTAGGACTATCAACATAAAATCATAAATTGTAAAGTAGGCGAGACATTTCAGCGTGGGCACTCTTGTCATATCGGCGATGTTTTGAGCTTATTTTTACAAAAAAACTTTTACAGTCGTCTGATTAATATATCATATTTCCTTATGTATTTAAATGCAAATCTGCAATGTGTTCACATGTCTTTTTTACATCTGGAATGTAATGAGTTATATTCACATTGGACATACAAAAAATGGTATTTTTTAAAATTGTGAACATGAAAATAACACGTCACAGATTTTGTGAGTTTGAAACGCTCTTCTGAATTTACTTTCCTTGGGAACGCTCAAACCTAAATATTTGAAAGCCACGGATGTGTAAATACGTAGAAATGCTAGGAGCTATATGACCAAAAAGGACATACAAAGAATAACCTTAAACTTGAAAGTCGTGTCATGTGATATATGATATTCAAAATCAATACAGAAGGTAGTCTCGACCATTCAGCCGCTCATATGTTAAGATTTTAAATATCTTGTATTTTTGAAACTCCTAAGTCCTATACAATATAACTTTTCTTACGGTCATGTCTGAACTTTTCTTTCCAAGACAAACATAGGCTATTCTTATGAAATAAGAAGATGTGGTATAATTGCCAACGAGACATCCAAATGACGTAGAAGTTAGCCACTATAGGTCACCGTACGTTAGAAAACGTAAAAGTACAACTCTTAAATGATTAGCTCAACTTATGGTGTATAATTTTACACCATTTCTATATACGGTAGATCTTTAGCAGGGATAGATTTCTAATTTTCTGGAATTTCCAATCATGGCCTTATGTGCCAAATAGTCAAAGGAATATTTTGTTTTCGCTTGATGGCAGATGTTTAGTATTCCAATACCGTAGCAAGGATATTATCCAGGTATTATTTATTTTTTCTCTTGATAGCAGATGTTTAGTATACCAATACCGTAGTAAGGATTTTATCCAGGTATTATTTATTTTTTCCCTTAATTGTTCATTTTACTCTATTCTTTTTGAATAATTTTATTTTTTTTTAATACGAGATGTCACTAATAGATATATAAAGAATATCATGGACCCATTAAATGGTTTTACATAAAAAACATATTATGTCCAGAGATAATCCAAGCAAAAATAAACCAGTACTCAAAGGGAGTTAATTCAATCACTACTAATAAAAGACGTGATACACAATAGATATTACTCAATGTTTTTCCACAGAATTGCTTGTATCAAAAAGTACCTTAACCATAGTACTAAAACGAGACTGTTTATTCCTTAAGCAGGAGACATTAGTGGGAATGAGTTTGCATTTGAAATGTTATTGCTTTAAATTCGACGGACTAGATCGGGCGTTAAAATTCGACGTTAAACATTGATTTTATACCATTCGTCTTTTTGCTAGTCTAGATTTTGACATATACATGTTAGATACGTAAGTCAACTTTATATGCATGCTAAGAATTATAATTGAATGAAAGATTGATTAATTTTGTGTGTTTAACGCCACTTTCAACACTTGGCTGTGTCATGGTGGCTGTTTTCTGTTCACACACACATACCAAAACCGAACAGATAACATGGCGGCTGAGTAATTCTTGAAAGCAACACGTGTACACGGAGAAATTAACAGAACACGATTTTACTTATTTCTACCTCCGCCATATTGGGATCGTGGTAACTGCAGTTACCATGATCAGTTTAACACCAGTGCTATTGGCGGAAGAAGCCGAATTGCCCAGAGAACCGACCTTCGACATGAACGCTAGCAAACCTAATCAATTAAAAGCACCTGTCAACGAACGGGGATTCGAACTCACAACCTCAGTGTTGACTGGCAAGTGATCACTATAGAACGATAAACTCTTTAGACTACTCGGCCAACGAGGCCCCAGAGTTATGACGGCAATCCCCTATCATATACGAATTGCTGTATTTTCTTCTTCTTCAATTTTTAACGCTATAAAACAATTTGAACTCAACCGAGTACTCAGATTCAAATCAAAATGATATAGTCAATACAATGATAACAATATTATGGGACAAATACGTCAATCTATGAATTATGCATTTATCTATTTGTCCAAGTTAAAAAATACTATTTGTGGCAATCGAATGAGGTATTTTGAGTCGACAGTCAAACACAGAGACCTGTCCATCAGTTCGTACTGAGGTCGGCAAGACGATGACGCAAGACAGCAAAAGAAATGGCTATATCTGAATATATGTGTAGGTTTCTATCGTTATTGTGCGGTTCATCTAACTTGAAAGGGGTTTTCCCTATGCA